TCAGCTGTCAGAAAATTCCAGCAATGAAGTTATTATTTCTCTGATCAACTTACTTCTTTATACCTTAATCACTGTAGAACACTAGAAGAATGAGCCATTTTAAGCATCTCAAGCTGTAGAATTTTCCAAATGGATCAATGATATTTTTTTTTCAAAATTTACTTAAAATTCAGACTTACGAGGCAAACTGTATTTAGACGGTGTCATTATATCTACTCCCTACCCGTGTGTGGTTGTGTGTGTGTGTGTGTGTCTGTTCTTTTGTTAAAATTTACTGAGTGTACATTGTGGGCTATAATAATGAGGTTGAAAATATATTTTCATTTGAACATGAAATTTCCACAGCTAAGTGTGATCTTGTACCATTTTTACGCACATCACAGCCTGTGTTCTAATTTTAACTTGGGATTCTGATGTGTATATTCATATATAGCAATTCTTAAACCAACCTGTAACTGTAAGCCTATAGGGAATGACTGTGTTTGAACATCTGGACACAACACATGTTTGGAGTTGGAACTGAAACATCGTTCACAGGACCTGGGTTTTTAAAAAGGAAGATATTGCAATGGTAACCTATTGCTGTCAGATGATGAAGAATGCATTCTGAACATATGATTAGGGATTTATTGTTGCAAACAAGGTCATAAAATGGTATTCTAAGCCAAAGCAACTTACTAAGACGTCTGCCATACGACCTTCCCTCATTTAACAAGAATATTTTGATTATCTGAGCAAATTAATGATAAATTGAATTACATGAGAACCTACTTTTATGTCACATTAAGGAAAATGTCAATGGTGATTTACATTCCAATGAAGTAAGCAATGTTTTGGATAATATCAATCTTCCAACAGACCAAGTCAAGTTGTACTTAGTTCTGTAAACACATATGAAGAATTATGTGCTCTGAATGTAGGCACTAATGTAATCTTTTAATCATGACTAGGAATTGACCTTCACTCTATAATTGCCTAATGTTTAGTATGTTTTCTTATAATACTTAAAAGAGAGTATTGATCCCATCTTGTAGAAACTGAATTAACCTCTTTATCCGAACCCTATGGTTTGTATTTAAAATGTATGTATCTGCCAGCAGACACTAATTAATTGGTATCTGTTACCTTCTAAGCAGGACTTTAAAGCATTTACTATTTGCCTGTGCAGATTAAAGAAAAACACAGAGAGCTAATTTAAACAGAACTTTGCTGAAATGTCAGGAGCCCTTTAATCTAAGACAGAAAGTTCACATTAGGGAAGACTCTTTAATCTCCACCTTTTTATACACTACAAAACAAACAATCTAACCTTTCTACATGTATGCATAATTAAGTACCATGTTAGCTATATTGTGATTAGGTAACATCATAACTAATGTGCACACTGATAAGCTTTCAGCAGTTTGCATGGATACCAGGAAGGTAAATGAATGGGTATTGTTTTCAAATGAGGATTGTTGCAATTTTTGACTTCACACATTTGTGTATGAATTATGGTCTGTAACCCCTATGTTCCATCTCTTGAAGTTTAGGTTAAGCTTGTAACAGGTAGTGAATAAAGCATCTTTTTAGGAAAATGATCCTTGGTACAAACTTCAATGTACTTAATTAAAATAACTCTTTCAAATCTATTTTGATTATCTTTTTAGAAAAGATATATTTAAAGATAAGAATACATTTTATAACTTTTCTTTTAATTTAATTACCTGATTTTTCTGCATCAGCACTCCCTGAAGCAGGTTGCACCTGTTACTGTATTTATAGTGATAGTTATATGTGCATATAGAAATAATATTATTTGGTAAAAAGAGCAGAGTCTGGATACTTTCCCAATCAAAGCATTTGACTATTTCAGTATCACATATAATGACCTTAAAATGCTGAGTGTAGATAATTTCAAAATAAAGACTTTGCCATATAATTCCCTCGCTTATTCAGACTTTTGTGTTTTGCTTTCAGTAGCTAAAAACAGTACACTTAATTCAGTCCAAACAATTCTTCTTATAACCACACTTGACTCATCCCTACAGGCAGTGTAAGGAGTTGTCACTTTCCAGGTAGTTCCCTCATGAGAAGCATTCCTTTCTGAGGTCCATAATTATTCTTTTGAGCTTGTTGCTTTTGAATTGCTGACTTGGAATGACGTCTACTCATGCCTCATTATCATTGTCATGGGATTATGGATTTTAATTTTTACTTTCAGAGAGTAATTTCAGAATAACTGTCCATGATTCCAGTAAGACTCATGTGTTTTTTCAAGAACTAACAAAATAAAATTGCTATAGTTTTACAAATCAAGAAACATTCCAGTATAGTATTATCACATTAATAAAAAAGAATCTATTTCAACAAGTCATTTCTAATCAGTCAAGTATATTCATGCTTAGGGTAAAGTTGAAATTCCTCTCAAACAACAAAGACATGGAGTCTTTAACTTGTAACTACTGACATTTAACTTTTAACTACTGCCATTGTTTAAGCCAACTTAATAAATTTCTGCCTCAATAATATTTTTTGAGTAGTACTACTGAAATACAGCATTGACAAAAAGAGTGCAATCATAGATGTAGGATCTAACTTGACCACTTTGAAGATTCAGACAAGTATCCAATTGGTGATGTATTAGATGGCATTGGAGCCAAATTTTTCCAAAGAATTTTGAAACTGGTAAGAATGAGGACATGTTCCAGCACAATGGACTTTACTGACTAGGACTGTGAATAGAAAAGTGATTGCATTCCTTTGCATTTCTTTTCTTCTAAGTGAAATATTTGGGGACTTCAAGTTCCTGAAAATGACATTAATTATGCATTAATTGTATCCTGGGCATTTTAAAAGATTTTACAAAATTAGAAAAACTCAACAGTTTGGAAATTTAAAAGAAAATTAGCATGATAATGCACATTTACACCAAAAAGTCCTTCATACTACGTTGATGTTTGGAAACAGAAAGTTGATGCATTTGTAACCTATCAGAGGAAAATACAACTATACTGTATAACTTTAAACTAATGTTGAAAGTTTCCAAGAAAAACACATGCCAGTTTGTTGATCATATTTATTTTTTAAAAAGTAAAACTCACATAACTCATGTGAATCAAATAAGTACTAACATTAATAAACTCTCAAAAACATAATATATAAATGTGGTTTCTAATAAGAGAACTTCTGAAACTTTTTCAGGCAATATATAAATTTGGTAACTGCATTTTAAAATTTTGTAAATTAGTAAAAAGGTCATTTATTTTTTTAACTGATATTTGGCCAGGGGTATTTCATTCATGCCTGAGAAATGTAACTCTTCACACCTGTTTCCTGCTAGTCACCAAAGACAGAATACAGAGTTGCCTGCATGTTTACTGAGGATATTCTGCCTTTTACAGTCTGAAAACTTCTCTGCACCTTCTTGTCATTCATTTTCTTCATCCCAATGATTTTACACATTGACATATTTCCCATCAACTTTCTCTTGATTTTTTTAATGCACTCTAGGCAAGACTCTCAGACGAATTCTTTACATTCATACCAGCTACCCAACAGTACTACAAAAGTCATTGCAATAATAATTCTTCCCTCCTTTAATTTTCACATCCTTAGTCAATTGAGTATTTTACATACACTCCCTGTGGACTTAAACCTTTTGTAAGTGAAATTGGAAAATGAAATAAGTCATGCACAGGAACAAGATTCACAAGTCTTCTGATGAATTATGCATTTTTTGCATGCAAATGCTCCTATTTTCACAATACTCTACTGTACTCTGCCAGGATGTGTTTTAATCTTATGCTACATATTTTATTGTATGCCAAAGTTAAAGCCATTAACTGTCACTATAATGATTCCAGATTAGGAGCATATGAATATTTCACAGGGGAGAGTTTGGTTAGGAACAACATTTATACAAAGTAGTTATGACAGAAAAACATTAAACATATAAAATTATAAGAGGTATATTATATGTATTTGCATACAAATACATTCATATGAGAAAGGGTCAAGGAAAATTGGCTTTAATTTACACACTTTTTAACCTTTGATCATATAAAGTAATATAATTATAATTCCAAGTTATTGGGGCCCTGAAGGGAACAACAGATTTCAATTCAAGCTACAAGTGATTAGCATTACAGAACACTCTTATCTAAACTGAGCAGACTAAAATTTCACAAACCTGTTGACAATGTTACTGCTATATTTTCTATAGACCTGTAACACATTCTTAATATGTTTCTGTGATTACAGTTTTCCCAGCAATATCAGCAATACCGACTGACCTTGCTTAAGAGATTACTTTATTTCAAAAAAAATAATAATAATGACAGGTGAAAATGGATACAGTTACAAAACCAGAAGTCTTTTTATTTAAAAAGTGAGACTCAGTGATATCATGCAGCATATGAAACACAACACCTTGCATTTTCTTTTAGCCTCAGACATTCACTTGTGTGTGCTACCTGTTAATTGTGTATGCATGAACTCTTGATAACACCTCTTCAGCAAAAACTGTGAAGATGTTTCCGGATGAGAAATTACCTCTACATCATAATGATTTGATCAAACTCTACAACTTAGGTGTTTTACCATTGGTTCCTGCAAATTTCAAAAGTTAGAGGAGATGATCCCATTACTTATTAAACACATGCACAGTACACTGTTGTAGCCAGGAAAAGACTGTGGCTTATACAAATGATAGTGGACAATGCAGTCTATGTAGAAATACTAGACATTGTGATTTGCATGGCACATCACAGCATGAGTTTAGAGTCCCAGCTGCGGACCTGAAACTCCCAGAAATGCAATCATGTAGATTTATATTAAGAGAAATTTAAGTTTTCTTCCCTCATTTAATGACAGTTTGTCTTGTGAATTGTTTGTGTGGAGAGAGATTAATATGAAGGGGGAGCAGTTCCACAGAAACCAGGCATTAAGAAGGACTCACCGTTTAAAGTGTGTCAAAGTGTAATGATGTCACGAATATAGAAATCTTAACTGCATCTTACCTGTGGTAGCAGTGCCTTGGGAAGTGTTGAGTGCCAAGAAGATGCAAGTCTCTAAATGAGAGAACAAGGGGTGTTTGCGCTCTCAGTGTTAGCAGAGCTAGAGTGTTCTGTGCATAAATAGATTGCCTCTTCAAAGTCCTCCTGACCACCGCGGTCACACGCACTAGTTACAATCTGTGCCCGAAACCCTGCTGCTGCGGCTTCTGCAGCCTTCCGCCTTTGCACCGAGACCTAATATATGAGTGTGCCGGAGAGCATCCTCCCCCTCCCTCCCTCCTCTTTTACTCTCTCTCTCTCTCTCTCTCTCTCTCTCTCTCTCTCTCTCTCTCTCTCTCTCTCTCTCTCTCTCTCTCTCTCTCAAGAGTTATCATTCGGGTTTCTTCATCAGGCAGTCTGTCAAAGAGGACAGGCTGGCAGGCAACTGTGCAGTTTCCCCCCTGCTGAGGCACATGAATGTTGTGAATAAAGACAAAGCCCCAAACCATCGCAGCGCATTACTCGCTGGAAAAGCACCGCAGTGATACACTGTTCTGCAACCCAGCAGGCGGGAGCCAGCTAGTGAGAGGCGGGAGAGGGCAAGGTGGATAGCAATCTTCCTGCTCTTCCTCATAGGAGTGTGCATCATAAAGTTTGGGCTCCTCTAGGGGACCGTGGGACGATGTTTTCCGTGGGTGGAAGTTCTTTTCATTAACTGTGCGGACACCTTCATCAAAAGTATTTTAGTTTTCTAGTAACCTTCAACTTAGAGAATCTACCAAGTCTCCTCTAATAGTCAAAAGAAACTGGATTTTTTTTTTAACTTTAGAAAATAAAGATCAGCTATCTTAGGCCCAAATAAACGTGTCCGTGGTAGTGGAAGATGGATTTCCATAGTCTGAGTATTCTCAAGGGACTGCCTGAAGAGAGTATCGGGCGGGGGCGGGGGGAGGGGGGAGGAGTTGTCTGTGGAGATGCAAACAAACAAAAAAGCATCACTATCTCATAGGTCCTCAAAATAGAAACTGAGATAAACTGAAGTGAAATTGATGAATGGGTCTGAAAAAGCATCAACGCAAAAGCACGGACAGAAGGAATAAATGGTTCCGCTGACTTCCCATAGCTCTCCTTCGAGTTTGGTGACTAAGAGTGACCTTAGGCGTCCAACTCATGTTTCCTTGTGTCTTCTGCAGGTGCTGAGATATAAATACACATAGGCTAATGTGTATTCCGGATTTAGGAAAGATTTAGCAGATACCCTGCAGGAAAATTAATGGGTTTTTTCTTTCTTTTTTTCTTTTTTTGGTTTGGTTTTGTTTTTAAAAATTACACAAAGTTATCAAATTGATGATATAGAGATTTGGAGCACATACCTCTCTTAGTCACATTTGGAGCGATACTTTAGAAACTACAACAGTATATCTTAGACATTAGTTTCTGAAAATAAATTTACCCTAATCTAGGGTTAGACATATCTCTGAATCCTCAACACTAGAAATAAGTGGTTGCTAGAATAAAATATAAAGTCCCCATCGCTCATGAAAATGGTGAATGGAGCTAAATAAGCCAGAGCAGATGAAAGCGAGGACCAAGGATGAGAATGACTGTTCTTTTCATCATTCTCAATGTGGTCCCTGGTGGTTCTTCAAGCTACAGTCACCAAAACCATATCCAAAATCAAGAGAGAAGGAACAGTGAGACTATGCTCTCTGTGAAAAGTTACACCTTGGAAATGGAGCCTGGCATTGCCTTCCACAAAAATCGACTCTACTAAAAAAGTTTGCTGAAAAATGACCATGTAGATGGATAAATTATGTAGGACTCTAAGGAAGAGCAAAGCAGTGGAAAAGGGAAAACAATAATGCTTTACCATCATAAGCATTGCAACCATCACTCCAATTCTATTCCATCAATTAATTTCAATGTAATTTACTGAATCAATCCCATCTTTACTAGGAGACCTTGCTTATTCTAAGTCACTCATGGTACATATTTTATGTTTGCAAGTAACTGATTAAGAACAGAAGGCCACAGATGTTACTTGGTAGAAGTTATTACCCTCAAACCTGGCCCAGTTGAACTGAAAGGAAAGGTAATTAATTATTCAATACGAAGAATTGATTTACAGCCCAATTTTATTTTATTTTATTTATTTATTTTTTTTTTTTTTTGGTTTTTCGAGACAGGGTTTCTCTGTGTAGCTTTGCGCCTTTCCTGGGACTCGCTTTGGAGACCAGGCTGGCCTCGAACTCACAGAGATCCGCCTGGCTCTGCCTCCCGAGTGATTTACAGCCCAATTTTAAAACAAAGATAAAGATTTAGAGGAAAGGGAACTGGGGAAATGGTTCGGTGGGTGAAAGTGATTGCCATTCAAGTGTGAGTGTAGTTAGCATTTTCTTTGGGCCACCAACCAGCTCCCAAATATCAACATGGAGACTTGTTATCAATTATGAATGCTCAGACTTAGCTTAGGCTTGTCCCACTAGCTCTTTGAACTTAATTTAACCTGTTTCTATTCATCTACATTTTGCCTTAGGGCTTTTTACTTTTCATTTATTCTATATGTCCTACTTTCCTGCTTCTTCCATGTCTGACTGGCCCCTGTCGTCTCCTTGGTGTCTGTTTTTCTTCTTCTCTTCCCTTTTCTTTCTTCTCAGAAGACTAAATTCCTCCTCCTACTTACTCTCCCTGACCAGAAGTCCTGCCTATTCCTCCTCCTTCACCAATCACTGGTCAGCTTTTTGTTAGCCCAGTCAGGTGCCTTAGGCAGGCAAGGTAAAACAGCAACACCTGTTTACATAATTGAACAAATGCAACACGTCTTTACATAGTTAAACAAATATTCTACAACATAAACAAATAACACATTTTTGCATAGTTAAACAAATAGTCCACAACATGTGAGGACTGGAGTTCAGATCCCTGGACCATTATAAATGCTGGCCATGTGTGTTGGTCTACAATCCCAGAACAGGGGAGGTGGAAATAAAGGATTCCCCAGAGGAAGGTGGCTAGCTAGAGTAGCCTTTATTTCCACAAACACACATCTGCACCTGCACATACACACACACACACACACACACACACACACACACACACACACACGCCCCCCCCACAATGAACATGTATACATAGAAGCACAGTTTTAAAAATTTTATGAAAAAAGACAGAAACTGAGCAATTGAAATAAACCACTGTTGGATTAGCCAATTCTGCAGCCAACCTTAGCCCTGGGCCTATAGTTTTATAGATACTATATGCTATATCATCATTAAAATTACTTGAATAAGTGTTTGTGTTACTCAATGAGAAATTAATTGTTCTAAATATTTAGACATATAATAATTCCTTTTCCACAGATCCAGGGGATATATGAAACTCATAGTTGTATGATATCTACTTTTAAAAATTATAAATGTGAAGTTTAAATGGTAAATTATGTGTTGTTTCTTGACCTTGAGACGTAACTGGAACAGAAAATTAACCTTGGTTTGATCTTACCCTTATAATTATAATGATCACATTTTAATAGATATTGTTTTTCTACGCATATGCTTACTCACTGCCAAATCCTGCTTTAAAAATTAAGGTATGAATATACATGATTAACACAAAAGCTTAAAAAAAGTGTATTTTTCATTCTCAGTTCATAAGATGAATTGAGAAATGGAGTTACACACAAACCAAAACTAGTCAGATATCTATTGTAGTTAAATACCTTCTCACAAATAGATTGAAATACTTCAGACCAAGGTAGATGATTCTATCAATTTAGCATCCCCAAATTATATGACACCATTATGATCAAAATATTTTAGTAAATAAATTTAGAAGAAACCATATTTAACTAATTTAATGGTAACTAAATTATCTTGATAACAAAACTAATGAAGAACACTGGGAAAAAAAAGGTCTTGTGCGATAAGGCCCAAAATGTTTCAGATAATATTAGAAAAGGATTTATCAAGACATGAAGAATATAATATAGTATAACCAAGAAAGATTCACCTTGAGAATTCAAGTTGGAGATAATATAGAACAAAAAAATTGTGATTTTCTGCATTAACAAGTTAGTTGTAGTGTCATCTTAATAAATGTTTATAAACACTTGAAAAGCTCAGCACTTGTATATTATAATTAACATAATTTACTTTTAACCTATTTATTCAGCTTTGAACCAAATGGATTTCCAGCCTACAAAGACAAGAAAAAAGAACCAAAGATAGCTACAGCAGGAAAAAATAATACAGTAATTTTATTTATCAGTAACTCCTACCACAAAATATACTAAGAAGCATATCAGGATAAATGAATGAATTTAGTATCAAATAATACAAAAAATATACTTAAGTTAATTGACTTTAAAATACTACAAATAATCTCTGTGAGTTCAATTCTCTGTGAGTTCAATGCTGACCTAGTCTACAGAGTGAGTTTCAGACAGCCACAGAGAAACCCTGCTAGAAAAACAAAACAAACAAGCAAAAAAACATGATATAACAAAAGCATATGCACATACACACAGTGTATTGACATGTATACCGGTAATCTATTTATTTATTCATTTGAAAACTGGGGAAAACATTAAATAGATCAAAATTAACAAAAATGTGCATTATTTGTGTATTAAGACCTAAAAATTACTAAGTAAGAGAAATCAAGCAAGACCAAATCTATGGAAACTGTTTGGAAGAATTAAGATGCCAGTTCTACACAAGTTGACAAAAAAATCCCTATGGATTCCATCCTTATAACAGAGCTGCATTTTTGTGCCAAGCATATGCATGTGTGCATGAGTGTGTGTATATGACTCATAATGACAAAAAATATTGCAAAGCAAAATCAGTGAATGGGCCTGGAAGAAGGGCTCAGTAGTTAAAAATATAACTGCTCTCGCAGAAAACTTCAGTTTGATTTCCAGCATCTGGAGCAAGCACCCTCTCAACTGCTCATACTGCTACCTCTAGAGCATCTAATACTCTCTTCTGATCTCTGTAGCTAATCTAATGCATGTGGCTCTAAACACACAAAGATATATAAATATAAACAAAGACTGATATTACCTATCTTGAAGATATAAAATATCAGTTAATACATTATGGCAGTAAGCATATGTAGATAGATAGATAGATAGATAGATAGATAGATAGATAGATACATACATACATACATACATACAGACAGACAGACAGACATACAGACATACATACATACATACATACATAGAGAGAGAGAATAGAATAATTGAAA